GTAAGCCAATTTATGCACCAACCTCAGGAAGAACATATGGAGGCTGTGTACAGAATCCTTTCCTACCTCAAACTCAATCCTGAAAGGGGAATATTCTTTAAAAAGGGGAATACAAGAAACATAGAAGTCTATACTGATGCAGACCATGGGAGAGCTGTAGATAACAGGAGATCTGTCACAGGTTACTGCACCTATGTTTGGGGAAACCTTGTGACTTGGCGAAGCAAGAAACAGACCGTAGTCTCAAAAAGCAGTGCTGAAGCTGAACTAAGAGCTGTAGCTCTAGGGGTGTATGAAGGAATGTGGGTGATTAGACTCCTGAAGGAATTGAGAATTCCCTATGAAGGGCCAGTGAACCTCTGGTGTGACAACCAAGCCAGTATTGAGATGACAAAGAATCCAGTGTATCATGACCGAACAAAACATGTCGATATTGATTGGCATTTTATCAAAGAAAAGGTAGAAGGTGGTATCATCAACTTAAGCTATGTGCGTTCGATTGATCAGATTGCTGACATCATAACCAAACCTTTAGCCAGAGTCAAGTTTGAAGGGCTTCGAAGCAAGCTGGGGATGGTTGACATCTACTCTCCAGCTTGAGGGGGAGTGTTAGAAAGCCCATGATACTCGCCTATTATTATGCATGAGAATAATATCCCTGATTGTATGCTGTCATTAATTGTAGTTTATTGCTGAATGATTCTAACCGGATTATTCTCACCGTCCGGACCCTATATATTGTAATCATCTCATATGGAATAATATATGGAGTGAAATATTCAGAATTTAGACACATGCCAAATTTCTGTACAACAATACTAAATTGGTCAAACCATGCACTAGGACTTTGTTTCAAACCATACAAGGACCTCTTAAGGCGACATACTTTCCCACGCTCCTCCTGAGCAACAAAACCAGGTGGTTGCTCCATACATACCTCTTCATGAAGATCACCATACAAGAAGGCATTTTTAATGTCTACCTGATGCAGAGCCCAATCATAAGTAGCAGCCAGAGAGATGAACAGATGAACAGATGAGAGCTTGGCAATAGGAGAGAAAGTTTAGAATAGTCAATGCCATAGGTTTGCACATAGCCTTTAGCCACAAGGCGAGCCTTAAGGCGGTCAAGTGTGCCGTCAATTTTAGTTTTCGAGGTTAACACCCATTTACATCCAATGGTCTTTTTTCCTGCTAGTAAATCTACTAGGGTCCATGTACCAGCCCGGTCAAGGGCCGCCATATCCTCTTCCATAGTAGCACGCCAACCCGAGTGGGCCAAGGCTTCATGAATAGTTATGGGCATAGAAATAATATCTAGTAAAGCAACAAAGAAACTGGACACATGAGACATGTGGTCATAAGAAACAAAAGATGAAATAAGATGGGCACAAGTACGTTTACCTTTGCAAAGGGCAATAGGTAGATCAAGAGAGAGATCCGGGTTTGGAACAGGAGGTGTCTTAGAGATAGGGGGCAGGATGAGGTTCAGTGTTGCTCAACTCAGGATCCGATGGCGAAGCGGACAAGGGAGGAATAGAAGCTGGCGTGGCGGTAGTAATCTCCTTTAACCTTCGTGTATAAACACGATCAAATGGTTGAACAGGTGCGTGACCGGGTGCTTGAGTCGGCGGTGATGATGAAGTGACAAAGTATATCAGAATGTCATCCTCCTCCGCAGTAGTTGTGGAAGAACAAGAGGAATATGGTGTGGACTCCTAAAAGGTGACATCTGCAGATACTAAATAACGATTAAGAGTAGGTGAAAAACAACGATAACCTTTTTTAGACCTGAGAATATCCAAGAAAGACACATTTAAGAGACTTGGGGTCTAACTTCGAAATAATGGATGTACATCCCGCACAGACACACCCAAATATCTTAGGATCAATAGGGAACAAAGGCTTAGAAGGAAAGAGGGTAGTATACAAGAGTTACCATCAAGAACAGAGGAAGGCATCCGATTAATAAGAAAGCATGCAATGGAGACTGCGTTAGCCCAAAATGGTTTGGGAACCTTTATTTGAAACAAAAGTGCATGTGCTACTTCAAGTAGGTGGTGATTTTTTCTTTTTGTCACACCATTTTGAGCTGGTGTATCAACAGAAGACGACTGATGAAGTATACCATTTTGAAGCATGTAAGATTGGAACAAAGTAGAAAGATATTCTTTAGCATTATCACTTCGTAAGGTGCGAATAGAAACATTAAACTGAGTTTTAATCTCAGCATAAAAGGCACAAAATGAGAAAACAATTTAGAATGATGTTTCATTAAATATAACCAAGTTGTTCGGGAATAATCATCAACAAATGTAACAAAGTATTTAAAACCTGCTTTGGACTCTATAGGACAAGGACCCCAAATATCAGAATGAACTAACTCAAAAGGGGATGAAACCCGTTTATTGACACGAGATATTAAGGGAAGACGATAATGTTTGGCAAACTGACATGACTTACAATCTAAAGACAAATGCTGAAATTAAGGATAAACTCTGTTAAGGGAAGATAAAGACAAATGACCCAATCGACAATGAACTTCAAAGGGAGTATGACTGCTAGTGCAAGCCACCGCATGAGACACCCTATCATCCAAGATATAATGCCTGCCAGATTCATAAGCTCTACCAATAATCCGCCTCGTCAAAAGATCCTGTATCAAGCAATGAGTAGGAAAAGGTGAGACCCAATAGTTTAGTTGACGGGTAAGTTTACTGGGAGATAAGAGATTAAAAGCAAATTCAGGGACATTTAGCACAGATGACAAATGGATAGAAGGTGTGGGATTAACAATGCCAAAGCCGAGGACTTGAGAGTGAGAACCATCAGCGATAGAAACACTTGACGGAGTGGCAAAAGAATTATAAGAGGAGAAGAGATGGCGGTTACCTGTCATATGATTAGTAGCCCTGGAATCTATGATCCACATTGAGGAAGAAGAAACAAGAGTAGTAGCATTATTACCTGTTGTAGCAGTGGCACTCACAGGTGGCGTAGCAAATTTTTATTGGGCATACTCAGCGGCAGAAATCGTGACTGTGTTACTAGCTTGTGTAGCCACTTGGGCAGAGTTATTTCTTTCTTGTTTATTCTAAAGTTTACGACAAGTGTGTTTTGTATGCCTCGGTTCTTTGTAGTAATAACACACTACCCCACTAGAGTCAGAAGGGGCTCCCTCTTGCTTCAAACCACCACAAGTAGGCCCCCTGCTGTTATCACTAGGACTGCGATTCTCATTAGGGCCCCGATTGAGCAAGGCACTTGTAGGAGTGCTAGCAGATGGTGGCAAGAGATTCTTAGCTCTCATTACTCTAGAAAACACATCTTGAAGGTCAGAAATCTTAGATCCAGATGAGATTTGAGAGCGAACTGTCTCATACTCAGGTGACCAGTAAGAAAACTCATAATAGCCATTTGTTCCCGTTGCTTATGTTGAACCTTCAAATCAGAAGTAAGAGGCATCAACACATTCAGCCTTTCATACATCCTCTTAAAGTCCATAAAATAGGCTTTGAGAGGACAATCCTGTTTTTCAGGATGATAGAAAGCTTTGCAAACCTCGTAAACATGAGATATTTCCTTTTCCTGAATACAAAAAATCTAAATAATCTATTAGTTCCTTAACCAATTCACAGTGATTAATAGAAGGAATAATCTCACTGTCAATGGAGTTACGGATCTGGAAAAATAGCCGGGCATCATCCCGTAACTAGGCCTTTTTTGAATCAGTCGTTGGAGGATCATCGGTCAGATGATCTTCCTTCTCAATGCTCCACAGATAGAGGCAAATGGTTTTACTCCAATCCAAATAATTTATCCAAGTCAACTTGTGATCAATAATTTTAGTAACAGTTGGGACAAGCTTCGAGACAGATTTAATTTCAGCCATATATGAAGTGCACTAACCAAAAGGAATACGAAAGATTGTCACACAGGGACACAAAGCACGATATCTGGATCACCTAACGAATACCAAAGCAGCGAAACAAGCTAACAGCTACACAAGGAGCTGTAAACAGAACCGAATAGCACAAACTGAGTGCCGGAGACGAGCCAAAAACATAATAGAATGCCGGAAGCCAATGAACAGTACACCAACGCTGTACCCACACCATGGGAGTACCACAATCTCACCAAAAAAGGGGCTCCGCTGTCGTTTGTTGACGTCGCCGGTGAAAAGGGCGTCTCACGCGCCGTCATGTGCTAGCACGTGAAGTTCCGGCGAATTTGCAGGAGGTGCGTGACACTCACGTGCTGGTCGAATGGCTGTCATACTTTGGGATTTGGCCGATTTGGAGGAGGGGAGACGATTAGGCAGGGCGGTGTCACAGAAGAGAGCTCCGTGGAAGGGCCACAATAATTTCTACAATTCTGAATATGAAAGAATAGGAAGATTTGAAGATGAAGTAGGAACATAACTGTGGTTCTTTAGTCCATCTCCTTTAGCTTAAGGTCTTCATGATCATCACTTCGATTGTTACACATTAGACATGATTCTTGATGTGAAAGAATGAGGAAGATTTGAAAATGTAAGTTGGAACATAACTTCTTCCACATGTTATATGGATTCATGCACATAGTTTCACATTGGATACCAGTGAGGATAACCGTCTAACTGTTAATATACGGTCCTTTGTAGAGTTTTGCAGCAAATTTACTATTCATGTTCTGCTTTCCTACCTTCTTACTATGCTTGCCTAACACAACTTAGTGTGAAAGACTTGAACAATGGGATTCCTTATTCATTTGTGTTCCTAAGAATGAATCACTATCCAGCATTTTTCATGTGTGGCTTCCCACGTGTTTTGGTTTTGGCTGAGTATCTCTTGATTTCCAGCAAAAATGTATCTCACGTCAGTGCTGACTCTTCGCATAACTATATATCTTTATGATGTTTTAGGTTGTTTATTTCATCTTTTTTATAGTCAATGCTTTGTTATCCTTCTATACTCAGAGAGTCATAGCATTATTCCCATTTCTTAGTTTTTAGCGTTAATCGGCAGGTAGCTGAGACGATACTAAACAACAAGGTGTTGGAGTTCTATAAATGGGAAGGTCAGCTTTCCCAACTGTTGCAGAATGTGAGGGACAAGTTGAATAAAGCTACAGTAGTGAGTTTCTTGTATCATGAATCTTTACCTGCTTGCCCATTGGTTGTTGTTCTATTACCTATAGATTTCTATTTTGTGTGGAGTTCACCGAGTGTCAGCAATAATAAAATGACATAAAATGGAGTATTTTAGTAGAAAAGCTGATTTTTTTTTTAATTTAAATCTGCTTACGTGGTATTAATTCAAGTCGAGATAGTAGATAATTTGCCCAATGGTTTTTGTCAGGGATGGACGCGAGAAGAAAAGAATCATTGTTTGGAAGAAACTGAGAAATCATTCAAGCTTTCAGGCGAAGTTCTGCGTCTGATATTAGTGTTATGATAACAGTTCTATTGCTTCATATTTGTGTAATTATTGTGTAAATAATGGCAAAAGCTTACGACATTGTGTGACCTGCATATTATGTTATTTTATTTTCAATTCATAAGGTTGCCTATATTGGTAATTATGCATGTTGACAGCTCTGTTAATGAGCAAGCATTTTTTTAGACTTCTGGATTACAAAAGGTATCCCGCTTCCTCCTTCTCCTGTACACAATGTTAGTCACTTTAATTAATTTATCATAACCAAAAAAATGGTAGATAACTCATTAAAAATGTCTCAATTTGAAAAATTTTTCAACTTTACTCATGAACGAGGTTGTGAAATAAAGTGAAAAATATAAAGAGTTGCGTTTGAGTATTAATTGCAGAAATGAAACTAACAAATAATCACTAATTATTGTTTAAATGATTTATATTTTGAACTAAACAATTTTTTTAGGGTCTATTTGGTTTGAGGGAAATTGAGGGAAGAAAAGGGGAGGGAAAAAATCTTAATAGGCTTGATTTAAAAAAAATTTAAAAAGCAGAGTTAAAAGCTTTTAACTAGGACTGCATAAAGATCGAGTTAGATCGGGTTACACCCAAGTCTGAAGTCTGGTCTGAAAAATGACCGGGTTGAAAATTTTGATCCGAAGACTGGTCCAATCTAACTTGGGACCAAGACTGGGTTGGACTTGGTCCACCGGGTTACCAAACTGGTCTAGGTTACTTTTTTATTTATATATATTTTTTAAATAATTTCATTGCATATTTTTGGCTGCAAAAATAATACATACTGGAACTGAAAAAAATTACCCACATTGAAAAGAAGCTAAAAAATATGAGAAAGGCCGAACAGCAAACATGAAATAGGAGATGCTCATGCAAACTTGAAGATCGTTGTCGTAGCAATGGAAGATGCGAACTGGTGGATGGCAGCAATGGAATATGCGAACTGAAGATGGTTTTTAATGGCGAGTTGAGGTAGAAGCTAACGCTAGAAGAATTTGATGGTGCTCATTGGAGACGGTAGATGGGTTCATTCACTGACATTATTGGGTCTATTTTCTTTTCTTTTTTTTTTGGTGAAAAAAAATTTTAGAAAAAGGGTTGGGCTCACCCACGATCCAAGGGCAGGGCAACTAACCCTTGACCCCAGCCCTACCCAGCGCCGTAGCTTTACTAGGACGGGGAGAGCTCCACATGGGGGATCACCACATGTTACGAGCTGAGGCCTTGGCTTTGAAGATGCCTCTCCCAGCGCCGCGACTGGAGCCACAACAAAGTGGCACTCCCCAGGATCGAACCCCCTCCCTTTGGTGAGAGTGTCCGACCCCTTCGCCAGCTGAATCCACGGATGAGGGGTTATTGGGTCTATTTTCAATGGAGAAGGAAAAGTTATTCTGCAGGAGAGAAAGGGACGAGCGATGCCTGTGTAGAAGGAGAGAAAAGAACAAGCGAGAAATAGATTAAGGCAAACAGTAAATTAATTAACTACTCCTCCGATCCTTAATATAGGACCCAATTCTTAAGTTGGTTTTGATCATAAATATAAAACCTATTTCTCATATTTATCAATTTTCTCTAAATTACATCTATAGATACTCCCTTAACTATAATCAATTAGAAGAGGGAGAGGGAGTATTAAAAAAGATAATTATGATGTTTTAGGAAAAATGTGTCACTTTTTTTATAATTAACTAACATAACTAACTTTCTTAATCTAATCAAATTAGTTAAATGGTTCTTATATTAAGAATCGGAGGAGTATGTTTTTTTGAAACAAAAAAATCTACTTGGATCGAGTCAAACCACATGGTCCAAACTATCAGTCCTTAACCCTATTTTACCCAATAGTTTAGTCTGGCCCGATTAGTCTTGTCATGTTGTTGGGTTGTATTTTTCAAGACCGGGTTGGACTAGGCAGACCAGGTTTAGAGCATTTTTGCACAGCCCTACTTTTAACTAATTTTACTTATTCTTTTATTTTACATCTTTATTTTTAATCCCATTTTTATAATTTTTTTAAATCGATCTTATTTAAAAAAATTTCTCCTCTCCTCATTTCCTCATACCAAACAAAACATTAGAAGCAAGGGGAATATATGCATACCCACACTTAATTCATAAAAGGTACTGGATGTGTAAACATTGCTTAATGTTTAATAAGTAATCTAAAAAGGCAATTCACGGGGAAAAATGAGGGGAAAATCGCAAAAAAAGAAATTATTGAATTTTAAAATTCTAAGTTTGTATTGGTTACTGTATTTGTAAAGAAAATGACCACACTTGAAAAGTAAATGATAAGACATTTTTGTATTAATTCTTGATTTGAAATTTTAAAATTTAACAGTTATTATTTTTTTTGGGATTTTCTCAAAAATGACTGTCAAGGTGGCCTGGGAATGTTTTAATAATTTTTTGCTTTAATAATGTGTTGTTTTCAATTCATAAAGTTGCCTATATTTGTACCTATAATTGTTGACAGCTCAGTTTAATGAGTAAACAATGTTTTTATCTTCTGAATTACAAAAGGTATCGTGTGCATGTGCACCTCTTGTCCAGAATATAAGTTTTTAACTTATTTATCAAAACCAAAAAATAATAGTTAACTCATTAAATATGTTTCAAATTAAAAAATTTTCAACTTTACTCATATTAAATGACAAAGTGAAGGAGATAGAAAAATATACTTACATTTAAGTATTAATTTCAGGGATACAACTAACAAATAAGTATTAACTACTCTCCATGTGATTTATATTTGATAGGTCCAAATTTTATTATGAATTTTTATATCTTATTTGAAGATTTTATCACATTTATTGGGCTTAAATACATTAATTATGATTATTTTAGATTAATTGTGATTGGATGGAAATAATGCTAAAAATGACAAAAATACCACGTTTTATGATTTATTTTAATTGATTGATTTTTGAAAAATATGTATTACATTATCTTGAATTTTATTGTAGGAAATTGGGATATAAAAGCTGAACATAGCAAGTGACAATAAAAAGATCAACAAATTTGGGGGAAAAAAACGGACAGCGGACGAGCGAGGAGCAGAGATGGCAGCACCTCCTTGCATCCTCCACCATCACCATCTTCTATCTCCCGCCTTCTATTTCTCGCTCCACGCACCATCATCGCCAGCAAATCACTCCTTCCTTCCATCACCGTCGACGACCTCCATTCCATTCATCATCTTCTTCGCAGAGGAGGGAGACGAGAGGCAAAGCGGCAGCAACCTTGAACTTGAGCGACCGTCATCATCAGCGATGCCCTTCACCTCTCACCGTTGACAACGCCGTTCATTACTACCAAGATCAGTGACGCCTCTTTCTTCTTCCTCTGAGCTTGCTGCGTCCGATGTGATGAGTGGCTGAATCCCATTGCCTCTTGGGATGGAGATAATGGTTTGAGTTCTAGAGTTACCACAGGGGAGTTGATTTTATTCCATTCATTTTCTCTTATCTATATTTTGATTCTCTAGTTGTTGAATGATGCTTTGTAATGTTAGAAACTGAGATTTTGAGTTGATTATCTCTGTTGAATTAGGTAAATTTGACTGTGATTGGATTTTATAGTTTGAAAGTTGTATATTCCTATATTTCCTTTTGTGAGTTTATTGATATTGTATTGTTTGGGATGGTATTATGGATAATATAGTTGATTTGAGCTTGTTTTTGAGTGTCTCAATTGAGCATTCTATTTATTTTTAAGAGAAACGAGCTATTTGATTTAATCACAGTTGCACACTAAGTAGCTTTTAATTGTAATTTAAAAGGTGTTTATTAGCTACAGCAGTAGAAATAATCACCAATTAAGATTGCTTGACTCTGTTTTGGGGTTTGAGATTTAGTGCATTGTTTTTAACTCCCAAAATATTTTGAACAAGGAAGGTCATTAATCCATTTCTAAAAAGCATTCATTTAATACATTTTATCATAGCAGTTCCCATTCACTTTTATAAAAGAAAATATAAAAAATAGTATTTCAGATTTATTCTATAATATCTTTAACAGTTAGTAAAGTAAAATTAATTTTCAAAACTCAAAACCTTTTTGCCCTGTCTATTTATTATTTTTGATACTTAATTTATTTAGGATTTCAAATAAAAGCTCCTTAAAATAAGGTGAATGACAAAGGCTCTCATCAATGGTTTAAATCAAACTATTCTTTTACATGCGGTTTATATTACGATTGAGAGAATACATGCATATCCACGCTCAATTCTAAAAGGTACTGTGTGTCTAAACATTGTTTAAGGAGCAAGCCAGAAAAGCAATATATAGTGAAAAAATGACTGTCAAGGTGGCCTGGGAATGTGCGCGAGTAGAATTGGGCCGATAGCCCAATAGGTGTCTTCAGTGGACCAACCGGCCTCGAGACCTGGGTGTAACTCGAGTGGCTCAGTGTTAGAACCAGGCTTGATCTCTAGTGATGGGAATAAACCTAGTTAACAAAGAAGTCATATGTGCAAAACATTAGAAAAGTACGTAATAATAATAATAATAAGGATTAATATCATCTTTAATCCCTAAAATTTGATCTTGTTTTGGTTTTGATCGCTAAAATTTGAAAAAAATGATTTTGATTCTAGAAATTTAACCTCATTTAAGACCACCTAAAGAATTTTAATCCTTAGAAGTGTTTTTTTTTAGCTAGTGACCAAAACCTCTAGTTTCAAAGTTGAAAGACAAAAATTAAAATAAAGTCAAATTTTAAGTGTGAACACGTAAATTCTATTCCAAGGAAGAAAAATCACATTCACACCAATAAAAGGGAGAAATAAATTTGACCAGATTTTAAAAATGATTTTTAATCGTAAAACATAAATCATAAAACAATTTATAGAAGTTAACTTTTATTAAAAAAAAAATATGCTAAAGTATTAAAACGCTAATATAGTTGCCAAAAGTTTAACTTTTGTTTTTTTTTTTTAAGAAAAAATTTAGGTGAGTTGGGTTCTCAGATCTTATTAAATTCAAGACATATGTTTAGGTCTAGAAAACTTAATTCCAAAGTTTAACTTAATTCAAAAACAAACGTAAAGAACTTAAAGCACACAAACACGCCCCACAAGCCCGCCAACAACAATCATCACATGACTTCAGGCACACAAAAAACGAAAAAGAACTAGATTCAGCCCATTAGTCTCACCTCTTCAAACAATCATTTAACCACAACACGATTTGAATACAGAGCATCATATAATAGATTACGCAAAAGTACATTTTAAATTTTTAACTGCAGACAAGGTTTTTTTTATGTCTAATCTTACAAAGTGTATTTAAAATTTTTCAGTCCTAACATTGTTAACATTAAATGATGATATTAAAATTTTAGATGTTACCAAAATATCCTCAAATATCAAGATCATAAGTTCAATTTTGTAAATATTTTATAAAAAGCATCACTTGAGACGAACAGTGTTAGAGTTTAAAAAATTAAGAAAAATACCTTATAAAATTAACAAAGCAGAATATTAAGATCAAGTTGGCACGTTAACACATCCCTTTTACGTGAATTATACATATACAAAGAGACGTTTGTGAGGATGGCAAAATAAAAAAAATTATAGTAAAGATTTTTATTTTTTATTTTGGTAAAATTAGAATAGATTTTTTATTTTATCATTTGTTACTTACCAACGGAATGAATTCAAGAACTCATAACATTCGAGTTGAATTTCCAACGCTTTATAATTAAAATAAATGTAAAGAAGATATTTAGTTAGCCATAAAAAGATGGGTTAAAGTTGGTGTTTTGTCTACCTGCCAAGATAAGGATTATTCTAGCCCACACCACCCCGCAAATTAGGATGAACAAGCTTATAGGTTGGCGAGCTTACGTGACTAATTTCTTCTTTCATCTTAAAGCTCTCGGTAGAAAGGCATCCAAAGAGACAGTAGAATAGCATCGAACACTCATCCCGCGCCTCGAGTCACTGCCCTAAAACTAGCGATTTAGGACGCAGACTGCAACCCCTACTCCACAACGAGCGAAGGGACAATCCGCTGCTATTGTATTTTGAATGTTGTGGATGTTTTCTTGAATTATGTAATAATTCAATTAAGCTTTAATTTGCCTAGTCTCTAGATATGAAAAGCATTTTTTGTATATTATTATTTTTAAATTGATAGGGGATTTTCTAGATCATATGTGATTAAAAAAAAAAATTCAAATCACCCACCATCTAGATAAATGCACCTTTTTTATTTTTTTTTAAAAAAGCACACTTTCTGCACCGATTGTCTCTATAACTAGTGTAGAAAGTGTTATTAATGTATTGGAAAAATAATAATAAAATATTTATTGAATTTTAAAATGAAAAATAATTAATTTTGATAAATTTTAACTTATTAAAACCATTAGGAAAAATGAATTTGAAAGTCCTTGTAGTTTACTTTCATTTTGAATCAAGTCCTTCTACTTTTTTTTTATTAGATCCTTATATTTTTTTACAGTTACATCCGTTGGTCCTTGAGTGTTAAATCTGTTAAACAAACACTAACACCGTTAATAATTCCCGTTGGGCACCTCTGAAATATCACTCTCTCTCCCCCTCCCCCATAAACCCAATTTCCTGCAAACTCTGCTCTCTCCTGCGCTCATCCCTAAGATTGTCTCTTTCCCCACCATTCTCTCAACCTATAAATGACTTGACATTCCTTCCTAGCTCTCCATAACACCTTTCCTTGTCTCAGTCACAAAGTCACTGCGATCCTCTTCAACCATCCTCACGGTCACGTTTCCTTCACCACCCAACTCGACCCCCGTCAGACAATTATGTAACAGAATAACATGAAAGAAAACGATAGTCTAGAAACTTGGAAGAACTTAGAGTGAGGAATACACTTAGAGAATGACGAAAAAAAGAGGCACTTTTGAGCTCAATATATGTAGACATATAAAGCAGCACGGGATATGATTTCAAGTCAATATATATCATCTTTATTTGTCGAATTATATACTACTATATATACAAAAACATGAAGAAAAATCCAAGTGTTAGTAGGAGCATGTATTATATATAGCATGGTCGCATTGAGGAAAGAAATTGAAACAACTATATATGCGGAGGCTATATGAATGAAAAATGAAGGATGGCCTCCCTTGTTTTAGTACTAAAAAACAGAGGCATTTTCCATGTCTTATTAAAATGTTGTTTGTAGCGTATGGAATTTTGTTGCAAACTAGTTTTAGGTGACTCATATTATTCATTATCATTCTTTGTTTGTAGAAGCATCCCAACAACCATTAACACCGGCGACATGGTGACATTGTTATCACCATCCACTGCAGCGGGCACTACTACAAATTGGGGAATACTTGACGCTAAATATTTGACGGTTATCATAAAAACCATCAAATATAATCCCCCCGAAAGAAAACTTGACCGTTTCTAAAGAAACCGTCAATTTTAGTAGAAAAATATTTGACGGTTTCAAAGAAACCATCAAGTATTGCAAAAATACTTGACGGTTATAAAATAACCGTCAAGTATATTAAAGGTAAACTTGACGGTTTTAAATCAAAACCGTCAAGTTTAGTAATACTTGACGGTTTTGATTTAAAACCGTCAAATATTATTTGAGAATACTTGACGGTTAAAAACCCGTCCCTTTCCCCTGTTCAGTCTCTTCAGTTCAAAATTTCTAACGCCCCCTCCGCTTCGGACTCTCCAAGCCGCCGTACCCACCTCTGTTTCGGCCGTTCCCTTTTGCTTTTTTTGCCCGTCCTTGCTCGTCCTCCATCATCGTCCCTCTCGGTGTCTTCCATTATCGGTGCGGCATCCTCCTACTTTGTCATTGTGCGTGCATTCTCCCGATTGCGCCCCCTTCCGCTTCGGACTCTCCAAGCCGCCGTACCCACCTCGTTCCCTTTTGCTTTTTTTGCCCGTCCTTGCTCGTCTCCATCATCGTCCCTCTTGGTGTCCTCCATTATCGTTGCGGCATCCTCCTGCTTCGTCGTTGTCGTGCATTCTCCAGATTGTCATTTCGGCTCCAGGTTGGTAATGCTTCACTCGCTCCCCTTATTTCCTTTAGTTCTTCCTTTGAGAAATGATTGTAGTGGAAAGGGAATGATAGGATAATGCTAGGACCGTTCACCATGCACACACGGAAAATGGGTTTGCTATTTGGCCGAATGGGTTTTCTTTTCTGTTCTTGATTCTAAATGGGTGTTTCGCATTTTGATCAGTTTGGGTTTAGGGTGTTTTAGTTTTTTGTTTTCGCAATAAAGTCTGGGGAATGCAATGCTAATGTTTCAATTTTTGTTTTTGTAATTGAAATTGACTATGTGCTGGTTTGGTTTTCTGCCATAAAGCCTGGGGAATTATAAGTTATAAGCCGTTATGCTGTCAAATTTTTTTCAAATGGAATAGCACATTAGTAGTAGTAGAATATTTTTCAAACTGAAATGAAAGTAAATTTTTGTTGAATTACTAGTTGTTAACAACTACTAGTTGTTAGCAAGTAGAATTAAAGAGGGATAAATGTGATCAATAGTGACTCATGTGTTGACTTTCTATTTTTGTTTAATTCTCATAATATCTTTGAGTCACTGATCACATTTTCCTCTAAATGATTCATCTTAGTCGGGGACCATGGGCAAAGAATGGATGTCCGCCAATCGTCTATCAAAAGAATATTGGGATGGGGTAGAACATTTTATTAAGTTTGCGATTGAGCACGCCGATGATCGCAACAGGATTATTTGCCCCTGTCTTAAGTGTTGCCTTTTGAAGTGGGTTTCGCCATCCGATTGTGAGAGCCACTTAATTATCAATGGAATTGATCAAAGTTACAAGTGTTGGACAAAGCACGAGAGACAAGAGATGTGAGTAATAGTAGTCGAGGGCATAGTGAAAGCTGTGGATCATCTAATCTTGACATGAGTACATGTGAAGCTGATCGTCTTGAGGAGATGACAGATGCGATTGAACGGGAACTTGACGATTGTCCTGAAATGTTTGATAGATTGAAGTGTGATGCTGAGACACCTCTATATGAAGGTTGTACTGATTTCACAAAATTGTCTGCAGTGTTGAAACTGTATAATTTGAAAGCAAGAAATGGGTGGAGCGACACAGGCTTCACAGAACTGCTGTTGCTTGTTAAACAAATGCTACCGAAAGAAAATGAGCTTCCAAGTAAAACGTATGATGCAAAGCAAGTGTTGCGCTCTGTCGGCCTCAGCTATGAGAAGATACATGCTTGCCCCAATGATTGCATTTTGTTTAGGAAGGAGTATAAGTCACTAACTGAGTGTCCTAAGTGTAATGCATCACGCTACCAAGAGAATGGGAAGAGCCCGAAGAAGGCATTATGGTATTTTCCCATAGTGCCAAGATTCAGACGCTTGTATAGTAATGTAGAAGATGCGAAAAATTTAAGGTGGCATGCAGATGAAAGGGTTAAAGATGGCATGCTTCGCCATCCTGCTGATTCTCCAGAATGGAAGAAGTTTGATATTGAGTATCCTGAATTCAGGGGAAGAAGATAGAAATCTACGCCTTGCATTAGCCACCGACGGGATGAACCCTTATGGGATGCAAAGCAGCACCCATAGCACATGGCCAGTGATTTTGTTTATATATAACCTTCCTCCATGGCTATGCATGAAACGCAAGTATTCAATGATGTCTATGATAATATCTGGGCCAAAGCAACTGGGAAATGACATAGATATATATCTAGCTCCATTAATTGAAGACTCGAAAGTATTGTGGGAGAATGGAGTTGATGTATATGATGCATATAAGGAAGAAAAATTCAAGTTGAGAGCTATGTTATTTGGCACAATTAACGACTTTCCTGCGTATGGTAATCTCTCAGGGTATAGCATTAAAGGACAACTTGGTTGTCCCATTTGTGAAGAGAGCACAGATTCCATAAGGTTGAAGCATGGAATGAAAAATTCATACATGGGACATCGTAGATGGTTGCATCGTGATCATCCTTACCGGCGATTCAAAAAATATTTTAATGGGAATTCAGAAGAAGGTAAGGCACCAACAACGTTGATTGGGGAGGATGTATTTCAAAAGGTGAAAGATATAGATTGTGAATTTGGAAAACCTTTTGCGAAGCATGTTGGAACAAGTGGGTGGAAGAAGAGGTCTATTTTCTTTATACTGCCGTATTGGATAACCCTGAATGTGAGACATTTTCTTGATGCTATGCATATTGAGAAAAACGTATGTGAAAGTCTGTTTGGCACATTACTCCATATTCCCGGGAAGACTAAAGATGGCATAAATGCCAGGCTAGACATGGTTGAAATGGGGATAAGGGAGGAATTGGCACCAGAGGATAAGGGAACTCGTACATTTCTTCGTCCGGCAGCTCACACCCTTTCTAGAAAAGAGAAAAGTAGTTTTTGTGAGTTTCTTGCTTCAGTAAAAGTGCCGGAAGGTTACTCTTCTAACATTAGTAACCTTGTGTCAATGAAGGATATGAAGTTAAAAGGTTTAAAATCTCATGACTGTCATGTCTTAATGGAAAACTTTATTCCAGTGGCAATACGGGCTATTTTACCTGATAAGGTACGAGTTACGATCACAAAGTTATGTTTCTTCTTTAAGTCTCTTTGCAGCAAAGTGATTAATCCTAGTAAATTGCCAAGATTGCAAACCCGAATCATAGTTACGTTATGTGAACTTGAAATGTATTTTCCTCCGACTTTTTTTGACATCATGGTCCATTTAACCATCCACTTAGTTAGAGAGGTCCAATTGTGTGGCCCAGTGTATTTAAGATGGATGTACCCAGTTGAGCGTTACATGAAAATATTGAAAGGGTATGTGAAAAATCGAAGTCGGCCAGAGGGTTGTATTGTAGAACGATATATTTGTGAAGAGGCTACTGAATTTTGTACCCATTACTTAAAAAATGCAAGTGATATTGGGGTTCCAATGTCTCGTCATGAGGGAAGGACAGATGGAGAAGGGATTATGGGAAAGAAAGTCGTAACTATTTCAAACCAACAGTGGGAGCAGGCACATCTATATGTATTGCACAACTCCGAAGAGATTGAGGACTATGTGCATGAGCATATTGATGAGCTAAAGAGGGATAATCCCAATAAACTTGAAAGTTGGTACACCAAAACACACAATAAACAATTTACAGCATGGTTGAGAGAGCATGTGCATGGCAAGTATAATAATGATCCTAATTCTGTTTCGAAGAAATTAAAGTTGTTGGCAGATGGACCGAGCAAACATGTGATTTCTTTCACAAGCTACCTTATGAATGGGTTCACTTTCTATACTAAACAACAAGATGATCGGAGTAAACAGCAAAATAGTGGCGTAACTCTTGTAGCTAGTACCATGCATATATCGAGTGCCAAAGATAAAAATCCTATCTATGCACGTATGTCATACTTTGGAGTGATTGAGGATATTTGGGAGTTGGATTACATTGAATTCAGAGTTCCGGTATTTGGTTGCAAATGGGTGGATAATAATAATGCATTGAGGATTGATGACTTAGGGTTTATACAATTGAATTTGAATAAAGAAGGATACAAGGAAGAGCCATTCATTTTGGCTTCTCAGGCTACGCAAGTGTTTTATGTCCCTGACCCGGCTGCCAAAGGATGGTCTATTGTTTTGTTGACTAATAAAATGGATATTGAAGAGACGGGTATGAAGACAATGCAATTGAAGATGATCCATTTCAAGGGGCCTCACTTGATTCTCATTTAAATGAAGATCAATCCATGTATGTCAGACATGATCACAACGACGGAATATGGATTTCAAAGAGGGGGAAAGTGTTTCGTAAGAAGATCAAAACAATTCAAACCAAGAAGAACATGCAAAAACATAAGAGTAGAAAAAAAAAGATCTTCTTAAACATGCATGTAAATTCTCTCATTATTTTCTTTGATTCTTTTATTTGTTTTAATTTTGTTCAAATAAATTTCGTCATTAATGACTTTATTTTCATTTAATGGATTCTGATTCATTTTGTTTACTTCAATTTCATCGCAGATGGCAGACGATAGCGGATCTAGCACTGATAACCCATCTCAGCCGAGAGATGCCTCTGAGCAGGAGAGACAGTTGCAAGAGGAGGCAGCACGCATACAGAGGGGCCTTTGTGTCATGCAAGAGGTCGTGAAAGCTCGAACAGAAGGAAAGAAATTTGCCGTACAGTGGAATAAGAAAGGACAAGCTGTACGGTCAAATAAATTTATCAGCTATATTGGGGCAGTGGCACGAAGCACCGTGCCCATTACAGCGCAGCATTGGAGGAGGGTTGATCGTTCAGTGCGAGACACTATTTGGACAGATGTATCGGTAATATATTATAACTCAAATTTCGTTTTCTTACAAGCTGCGTGACACTAATGTGTTGTTTTATATGTTTTGCAGTCTGCATTTGATATAGATAAGAGCAGGAAGAGGTTTGTGGAGGGGAAGGCTGGGAGGGCACTACGCTCTTTCTGATATTTTGTCACACACAAGTACTTGAAGGATCCTTCCACAGCCGACGAGTCCCAGGTTCCTAGCTTGATACGGGACTTGGTCAAACCAGAGGATTGGGCTGCTTTTGTGACGTCACGTCGTGATAGGCAATTTCAAGTAATAATCCTCGCTCTTTTTGATATTAAATAGTCCATTTTGTTTAATCTATATATTGTTTAATTGTGAATCTACTTTGTTTTTGCAGGAATTAAGTTCCCAAAATAAGGAAAGAGTAAAGAAGAATGAGTATCCCTACCGAAAGGGCCGCTTGGGTTATGCGGGCCTTGAGCAAGAGGTGACTCAGCAGGAGGGATCAGATGTCACTGTATCACGTCAGATGCTGTGGGCACTGGCCAGGCAAAATAAAGATGGCCAAATTGATAATCCTCGCGTTAAGGAGGTCGTGGACAGGATGGTGAGTATTATTCTAAATTAAATAATCTTCACGTTATTGTCAAATATCTTTAAGTATGAATAACTATATCAATGTTTGTTGCACAGGAGAGTTTGTCCCAGGAAGTTTCGCAGGGGGCATATTCTGCAGATGACCAGGATATATTGAGGAGGGCATTGGGGACTCCTGACCATCCTGGTCTTCTTAGGGGTGTCGGTTATGGAGTCACCAAGAGAGATTACTTTGGGTACCGACAAAAGCCCTCTTCATCGTGCACGCCTTCCTCTGCTGAGTTCATGGAGCTGAAGGAAGAAACACGCTGGTTAAAGGAGCAGTTAAAGTGCAAGCGCTCCTAATCGAGCAGTTGATCAAGAATCAAGCACCACAGCCGGCTCCGAATCTCAGCCCAAGTGGCAAAGACAGCTGCACATTCCCCTTGCTACCTGAGGTATAATACTTGTGTTTATATAATTACATTCAATAATTTATATATCTAGCTAACTTGTCTCTCATGTTAAACAAATCAGGGTGAAGCGGACGTTCAGTGTATGGCGGATAGCCCTAAACATCACACTGTTGCAACGGGCCGCATGTTCAATTTACCGGGGGAGAGTATAATTCATAATGTTCCTCTCCCTGCTGATCATGTGAGGGTGCAGTTGAACACTGCTATTGATGCGAATTATGCCCTCCCGATTCCCACCCCAGATGCAGAGACAGTGGCTCAAGCAGTGGGTAGCTTTGTCGCTTGGCCTGGCCGTCTTCTTACATTAGGACATCCTTCAAAGGTATATATGTATAGGTCTACAAATTCAGCTGATTTAAAATAAACTCTATTTTAATTACTAACAGTCTGTTTGTCAGTCTAAGGGGAAGAAGAGCCTATTGGGTGATCACTCATTATCATCACCACAGAAGCAGCCCTCTGAGCCCGTTCAAGTGGTATCATCAAGATTCCGAATATGTCTTGAGGAATATGCAATTGGGGCCAGATTAGAACATGGCGAGGATTTCATGATTCCCCTAGAGTTTGAGCCAGAGGTATACGGTCGACCCTCGTCAGATTATGTCACAAATGAAGTATTGAAAGAGATTCTGACGCATGGAATGGCCAGCACAAATGCCTGTAACTTTTATATCAGGTATTTGTTAAAACCTTAACTAAATACTTAAGTACTTGAACATTTATTCTATTGATATCTTCGTTTGTTGATTTAGATATCTTTTCAAGAACTTCATAGCCCCTGGTGGCCTTGATGACAAGTTCAAGATTATCAGCCCCCACACTTTTGCTGGCCACGGACCTAATATGAAGAAAGACTTATCCAGAGACTTGTTAGATATCTTCATTTCTAGGGCAACACCGGGGGCTCAGACTTTGTTTTTGGCGCCTTATTGTCAAGGGTAAACTTTCCTAAATTCTTTCATTTTCAAAATAATTTGTAATAGTTCTAATTGTCTTTCTTATACTTAGGGGACACTGGATGCTGATTGTGGTCAATCCCACAAAGCCGAGGATTTGGTATCTTGATTCTCTTCATGGGGATCCAACCAATCGACCATTTATGGTTTCATTGTTCAACAAGTAATATTTATCTCTATTATTTAAATTTAATTTAATTTCTTGCTTCAATCAAATTTTTGACAATCATTAATATTCAATTTTATTGTCTTCTCAGGGCTTTGTGGCTATACCGCACAAATCAGGCCTTACCCTGCCCCCCGGTAAAAAACGGCCAATTTGACGATACCTTCCCGTGGAAGAAAGTGAAGGTATTCACTACCATTATTTACTATTCTACTAAATATGGTTTATTTATATGATTGACTAATATTATTTCCTTTTCCATTCTTTACAGTGCCCACGTCAGCCCAACAAGAGCTCCCATTGTGGATATTGCGTGATGAAATTTATGAAGGAGATAATTCTGCACAATGCTGACACAATTCCCACGCAGGTAATATGCATTTGTTAAGGTTCAATTTATATATTTAAGAATTATTGTACTTACTGTAGCTTTACATTTCTATCTAACTTAAGTCATAATTTGTGGTTGCATACAGTACTTTGCCGACACATATTGCACAGTGTATTCATCTGCTCAGATGGAAGAAATCGTTGAGGAGTTGGCGATGGCCTTATTCCGTCAGTGGGCACAACATAGATAGGGAAGTGTACATTAAGACAGTGTATGTACGTACAGCTAGCTTTGGTTTCAATATAATTTTGGTTTTGGTTCATTTTTGGCTGTTGGTTAGTTTTAGGCATTGCACAACTTTGGCAATTGGCTAATTTTGGAATTGGTTCACCTTTTGTACTTGCCAGAATTTTAATATATCACAGTTGGTTTTCATTGGTTCATGTATATATATGATAATGTAAATTATTTTCGGTTCATTAACATATATGTATATGGCTGAATTGGTTTGAATGCTGGCCTGCATGATTCTGTTGAATGAGCCTTTGTTATCGGTTTCAAAATTGCAGGGGGTTGCTGGCAAAGGAGAACGAATTTTTAAAAAAAAAAACAAATAATACTTGACGGTTATTAGTTAAAACCGTCAAGTATTATAACATACTTGACGGTTACTTTTAAAACCGTCAAGTATTAAATAATACTTGACGGTTTTTCAAAAATAACCGTCAAGTATGTTTATAATACTTGACGGTCACTCTATGGAACCGTCAAGTATTACAGAATACTTGACGGTTTTTGGAACCGTCAAGTATAATCAAAATAATTGGCGGTTTTTCTCTAGTAACCGTCAAGTATGATTTAAATATTTGACGGTTAATAACCGTCAAATATTTGCTGTGGAAATATATGACGCCAGTATAGTTGACGGTTTTTAACCGTCAAATATGATCCAAAATAACCGTCGAGTATTTTTCATTTTGTAGTAGTGGGGGTTTCTTTCTTTTAAACCAGCCAAGAAGTGGGTCAAAATTCTCTCCATACAATTTACTTTGTAGATTGTTTCCTTAAGGTACGAATAGCTCAGCATGAGAAGATCAACTCATGTGGCTTCTTCAAGCTGTAGTCCAATCTTCTCCAATGTATTTCTGCCCGATTTGAAAACATCCAATATGTTGGTTGTTTGCAGTAATCCAAAAAGACACCTAGTTGTTGTGAGGATGTTAGGATTAAGGTTTTGATGATAACAAAGTAAGAAATTTGTGTTTCAATATGTTGATTGATTATCTGATCGATCAAGGATTTATCGATAAGCTGATAGATAATATCTCTGTACAATCAAGTAACTTAGCAGAAACTTTGATCGATAACTTGTTCGATAATGTGTTGATCGATCATTGTTAACTTAGTTATGTATGAAAGTCTGGAATAAATTATCAATCACTTGATCGATAATCGGAATGATCGAACATCGAGATACAAATCTGATAGGGAAATTATTGATCACATGATCGATAAACAAATTATCGACGAGAAGACAGATAAATAGTAATGTACTCTACTCATTCTATGTTTTGCTTTAGTCATCATTTATTGACCACATTATCGATCAGTCATTTATCGATAATATGATCGAACATTACTTCATAACTCTGTGTGTAGGTAATTATTTCAGTAGCTTATCGATCAGCAAATTATTGATCACATTATCGATAATCAGCACATCGTGTTTAAATCATGGTTCTTCGATCACAGGATCTATAATCACATTATCAATAATATGATCGATCACCGCGCTTCATGTTTGCCTTCTTTTTCACATAACGTGATCAATAAATCAGTTCTTTGATTTTACAAGAATAAACCTCTTTGTCGATCACTTGATCGATCATTCATTATTCAATACACCTATATAGCTTGAGTTTTCACTGAATATACTTTTGCTAATTGTTTATCGATAAGGTTATCCATCATCCATTTATTGATAATATGTTTGAAAAATTATTGTTTTAAAATATGTTCTATAACACTTTGTTTATCGATGACCTGATCGATCAACAAGTGTTTGATCACTTGTTCGATCAAGAGGCGATTTCAATTTAAACTTTAACTAGTCACGATATTTCTCAAAATTTATCATCTAGTTCATTCGAGCTTTCCTTAGCCTTCATGATTGTCTTAATTCTCTATTTAAAGAGATTCAAAATCAAAAGTGACCTTAATCTTCTTTTTCTATGCATAGCAGTATGATGTCACTATTCCCCTTTATCGAACACTTGATCAATAAATCATTGATCCATCACTTGATCGATAAACTTAGTTATCTGTTTCAAAAGCTCTTACTCTAGATAATCGATAAACTAATCGATCAAGCAGTAATCGATCATTACTTCGATCAAGTACGATCAATTATTACACAGCACATTTAACAACTGAATGATTCTACCCGTAAACTATGAATGTTCATTTTATTGTCTGTTTGGTTCTGCCCTTGATCTTACTCTGCAAAGAAAAACTTATTGAATCAATGTATTATTGCATATTACAAAGGAAACCCAACGGCTCTCCAACGGTTATCCAAGTAGCCTATAACCTACCTTGTCAGAAGCATTAATGGCGAAAACCATTGCAATTGGGAAAACATGCAACCGGACTCTCAACGGCTAGAAGCT